TGGACTAACTTTTTTTTTGTTTTACAGTACTTGGTTAAACTATGATCTTGAAACCGGAGCACCAGATATGCAAAAATCTACCTGCAGACTTTGTTAGCTACCCTGACACTGCAGTCATCCTGGACGGGGCTGAGCCGGTCTTCCTCTCCTCCAGAGTGACGAGTTTTCTTCACCAGTAAAGGCAAACAAGTCTGATGTTTAATTAGCTGCTAGGAAGTATATTATATATTCACTGTTCATTTTGCTATCCTGTTTGTACCTACAATAAAATTGAATCTCATTTGTAATACTCTACATTTCACAAACCTTTTTTTCCCTTTTCTCTGTGTTTACATTTTATCAAGTATTTGCATGTAGATCAGGAATTCAAGTGAGATGTTAAAATGCAACACATTTAGGTAATGCCAGCAAAGAAATGTGAATATTAAGCAATATGTAGTCATATAATTTAATATACTGAATAAGGCTGGATGATATGACTTACAAGGTTTTTTTTCATACCAGATTTGATTTTAATCAGTTCCTCCTGCCCTCAATTTCTATAATAAAATCACAGAAAATATTTTCAAAAAGTGCCTTTATTTCAACCATCTGTTCTGTGAGTTGTATGAGGGAGCATTACGGTCAGGATTCAATTGCAAAATGCAGTCATCGTTACAGCAGAATAAAGATGCAATTTTATAACAATGTCTTAAAATTACAAGAAGATGTTTTAATGAGAAATAAAGATTCAGATTGATCTGACGTAACCAGCTCAGTCCATGTGGTTCTGACATTTGTCAGTAATCAAGAAGATGTACATTTCCACCTCAACTGACCATGTAAGCATTAAGGTAAAAATAAAAAATAGAGCAAATACTGTATACAAAACGGAAAAAGAGCAACTGATAGAAATGCTTTCTATATAAAGAAAAGCAAAAAAGTTAATAGCAGGAGAAAAGTTGTTGGCAACATTAGCTCAGCCAATCTGTCCATCCAGGAAGCCATCAAACAGAACTGTCCAACTCCAGCTATAATGAAGATAAAAAAAGAAAGAAAACGGAAAGTTAAAATAACAAATGATGCCAATTTAATAATTCAGATCTAATGCGTTCTGGAATCTATTATTGACATTTTACAAATTTCACAAATCAATTTGAAGGTTTCACAAATGTTTTATTTATTCTGCCGTTAGTACAGAATAATATAGTTAGGTTTGAAATGACTAGGTGTTGTAGTTTTTAAAGTACAACACATTAAAAAAGCTCAAGATAGTGAAAAATTAAGAGTAACTGCCCTTTAGCTATTTTCCGAATTAGATGCTACATTCGGAACCTAACTTGAGCTTCGACTGATAGCTTGGGCACAATATAGACAGATATATAGATATATATCTATATGTTTATATAGATATATATCCATATCTATCTATAAAGCA